AAGACAAAGAAGCTGGAACTCTTTGTAGATGATGAACTCTTCCTCTACCCCAAAGTAGACCCTGAACAGAGAGGTCAGTCCTTGGTCAGAGGTGATCACAACCATATTTAACCCCAAAAGTGTGGATGAAAGCATTTAACACAGACACCTGATACCCTTTTCCAATGAGGGCAGGACCTTCAAGGCCCTGGATCTGTCTCCAGAGGGGGTGGGGTGGGAAATATGTCGTCTGAGGCTTGTGCTTACTTCCCTCCCAGTCTTCAGTCTCAGGGCCCTTGATTAGTGCTAATCACTCTTACCTGGATTATAGGTTTGAATTGTCCACTGGATGGTAGACTTCTTGAGAGGAAGAACCCTATTTTATTTATGTTTCTGTTTCCTTAGCATCTGTTTTTCTCATTTATCACTCAGGGCAGCCTTTGTGATAAGAACTATGCTAACTGTGGGTTATATAATGATAACAAGGAGGATATTTTTTTCTAGGAGTTCATGACAAACAGACAAAACAGATAATACATGGGATAAAGGTAGTGACGGATACAATCAGGTAACGGGAACACATGATCTGTTTCAGCTTGAGGGTGGTAGGTGAAGTCACAAAAGGGTTCAGGAATTGGTCACACCTGGAATGATGTCAAAGGATGAGGAGGTCTGGTAACTGGAAGGACATTTTGAGTAGAAGGGCCAGCATGAACACAGGAAGACGAGAGGGCATGCAGACTTCAGGGAAGTCCAAGAAGCCCAAAGTTTGAGGCAGGGACTAGGGAGATAAGGCTGTGGAGACCAGGAGGGGCCAAGCAGGGAGACTGTGTATACTTAGAACCCCCCATCTGTTGAGTTTACAGGAGTGTTTGTCATCTTGATATGTTCAGCCTCTAAACCCTGCATCAGATGTCAAGGTTCTGAGGTGTCTTAGGAAGAAGAAAGGGAGCTCAAACTAGGTTAAGCAAGCTGCCAAACTCATTAAAAGAACCAAAGCGTGCTAGTGACTTTCTGCCTTATTTTGGATTAGAAAAAGTTCTGCACAGTGTTGCGATGGCCTCTTGACTATGGTTTATAATGGTAAAGTAGCTGAATTTCAAAGATTCAGAGTGACAAGATCCTGAGGATGGAGAGGGGCTAGGTCTTGCCTTTGGGTACAGCATCATTAAGTTCACCAAATACTCTTGACTATAGAGTGTGGGCTGGATAACAGAACACTGGCCTCCGAGTTGGGAGAACAGAATCCCCCTGTCATTGGTGGTGAGCTGGCGGACACATTCTGGTTCCTCTTGGGACCTCTGCAGTCCCATGAGCAAGTGGGACTACGACAGCTCTGTCTAATTTCTTAGGTGATTTTGAAAAATCAAAACGATGAACTAGATAGAAAAGTATGTGTCAAGAGTAAAGTCCAAGGACATGTGAAGCATTGTTGTTGCTATTTTTTTTGAAAAGGTGACTATAGAGGCTATAGACTGGAAATGTTACAAATAGGCGCTCTGCAGAAGTGATTTATTTGGCTAATATAGGGTGTGTGTATGTGTATGAGTCTGTGTGTTTTAACAAATTCGAGTAGTATTTAAAAGTTGGATATTTCCTGCAAAATTTGTGGGAAAAATCTAAAGCTCTGAAATGCTCATCTCGATTTTTCCTTGTGGCAGTGATAGGCTGAAGCTTAGAAGTTCCTTCCCCAAAGCCTGTACTTCACCTGGATTGCTGCCGTCGCTTACCTGTCCCTGAAGGCATTTGAAAGTGAGACTCCTGGGCTGATGAATCAAGGACTACAAGAGCTTTTCAAAATGATTCTTTATACACAATAAGATTTCTATGGCAGGAGGGGAGTAATGAGTACTCTCATTTTACAGGTGTCATAACAGAGGTCATGCCAGATTTGGTGACTTTGCTGCTCTGTGGCTGCTTTCTGTCCTAGCTCCCTCCCTCTGGAACGAGAGCCTCAAGCATCCCAGCTGGGGTCAAACTCCTGACTCTTAGGCTATGAGAATGGCTAATGGAGGAGAGTGGTAGCTCTAGGAAGGAAACAGCACCCCCAGCTCAAACCTTGGGAGAAGCGCCACGGCCGGTGTGAGGAAGCAGACCAGGTAGAAAGTGGGGTCTGAGAGCTGGCCTTCCATCACCCAGTAGGGATTGGTGGGGCTGTTGCAGGTGATGCAGATGGCATTGTACAGCAGGGACACCACAAAGTACATCAGGAAGCTGCCTGCCAGAACAAGCCCGTGGATGAAAGTCTGTGGAAGGAAAGAAGAAAACACTGCTGAGGGGATAGTTTAGATCAGGGGGGAATGCGCTCACGCTACTTTAACTTTGTTTTAAGCTTTTCTTTTTTGGAAATGCAATGTCCATATAAACCATTTTTAAAAGTGTGCCATTTAATGGCTTATTATAAAGTAAATACCTATGTTGCTACTGCCCAGAATTTGAACACAGATACCCCAGACACCCCTAAATCACCTTGACTTTTGTGATAATTTTCATGCTACTCTTTAGTCTTAAAAAAGTTAGTTATATTTTGTGTGACTTTTGTCGTCTTTCCTTAATGTTATGCTTGTGTGATGAATGAGCCTTTTCCACATGTGGCTGTCAGTTATTCATTTCTGAAGCAGCACAGTCTTCTGATCTCATTTTCTCCTGCCTCTTTAATGCTTCTTCGAATTCTTGTCCTCTTGTAAACTTACTGCTGATTTCATATAATTTCATTTCCACCTCTACTAGTTTGAAAGTTATGTATTTTAATTTTCAGTGATTACTCAATAAATGACACTAAGCAATCTTAACTTACTGTAGTATAAAGTTTATATGTTTCCCTCCTCCTAAATTATGCAAGGGCTTTAGAATAAATTAACTCTGTTTACCTTCCTCCTGATTTATATCTTATTGCTACTATTTATTTAAATTCTATCATCTTTGTAAATCACACATCATTATTACAGTTAAATATGGTCAATAGTCTTTAAGATTTACTTACATGCTTGACACTTTCTGTGCCTTCATTATCTCTTGCATTTTGGGTTTTCCATCCAAACTGTATTTTCTTATCCTTTTTTAAAAAAGTTTGTATTGAAGTGTAATTGATTAACGATGTTGCATTAGTTTCAGGTGTATAGCAGAGTGATTCAGTTATATATATACAAGTATCTATTTTTTTTCAAATTCTTTTCCCATTTAGGTTACTACAGAATATTGAGCAGAGTTCCCTGTGCTGTATAGTAGGTCCTTGTTGGCTATCTGTTTTAAATATAATACTGTGTACATGTCAATCCATCTGTCACCTACCTCTTTTCCCCCTGGTAACCACAAATTTGTTCTCTTAAGTCTGTGTTTCTGTTTTGTAAATAAGTTTGTTTGTATCATTTTAAAAAGATTCTGCCTGTAAGTGATATCCCATGATGTTTGTCTTTCTCTGTCTGACTTCACTTAGTGTGATAATCTCCAGGTTCATCCATGTTGTTGCAAATGGCAGTATTTTACTCTTAATGGCTGAGTAACATTCCATTGTATATACGTACCACATCTTTATCCATTCCTCTATTCAGCCATTCATTGGACATGTCTATTCAATCAAGACAATAGCCATGTCTTGGCTACTGTAAATAGCACTGCAGTTAACATTGGGATAGCTTTCCTTATACTTTTAGTTGATCTTTGAACAACAGGGGTTTGAACTGTGTGGGTCCACTTACATGTGGATTTTTCTCAAAAATACTGCAGTATTGCCTGATCCATGGTTGGTTGAATCCACAGATACAGAGGACTGATTATGGGACTTGAGCATCCATAGAATCTGGTATTTGCATTGGGTCCTGGAACCAGTCCCCAATGGATACTGAGGATGGCTATACATCCTTTAGAATTTTCCTTTAGTGGAAGTCTGCTGGTGATATATTTTCTGATTCATTATTTCATCCTCATTCTTAAAAAGATATTTTTAATCTTTTTTTGGAAGTTATTTTCTTTTAGTATATTTAATATAGCATTTCACTATTTTCTGGGCTTCCCAGGTGGCTCAGATAGTAAAGAACTTGCCTGCAATGCAGGAGACCTAGTTTCAATCCCTGGGTTGGGAAGATCCCCTAGAGAAGGGAACAGTTCCCACTTCAGTATTCTTGAGGCTTCCCTGGTGGCTTAGATGATAAAGAATATGCCTGCAATGTGAGAGACTTGGGTTTGATCCCTGGATCGGGAAGGTCCCCTAAAAAGGGAATGGCTACCCACTCCAGTTTCCTTACCTGTAGAATTCCATGGACAGACGAGTGTGGCAGGCTACAGTCCATGGGGTCACAAAGAGGCAGACACGACTGAGGGACCAACTTTCACTATTTTCTGGCTTCTATTGTTGCTACTGAGATGTTAGCAAAACTCTGTTGTTCTTTAGAAGGAAACCTTTATCTCAAAATCTGGCTGCTTTATGATCTTTATTTTTGTCGTTAGTGTTCTATAGTTTTCTTATAAGCATGGTGTTTTTAAAAAAAATTATCTTGCTTGAGCTTTGCTAATATTCTACTTTTGTTTTATATTCTTGATAATTTGACCAATTCATTAATTTTATCCTCAGCTCTGCCTAATCTGCAGTTAAGCCAGCCATTGAAATTTAAATTACAGTTACTGGATTTTTTAATTTCTAAAAGTTTTACTTGGTCTTTAAAGAAAATCTTTTAGGTTTCTTTGTATGGCTTACCATACATTCTTGCAGATATTTTAAAGCTTATTCGTCTTTAAACATAGCAAACAAAAACTTTTCTGAGTTATTTCTGATAATTCAATACCTAAAATATTTGTTACTGATGTATGTGCTTGTGATCCTTATTGATGAGTCCTTGTTTCATTTGAACTTCATTATTTGTGTGTGTGTTTAAAACTAAACTCATTTGAGAGTTATTTAAATTTCTTAATACAATCAGTTGTTATATAGTGCAAATATCTTAATGTCTACTGTTTGTTATTATAATTGAGGTAGAGTTGATTGTACAGCACAGTGATTTAGTTACATATATATGGTCCATTTTCCAGGCTGTGTCCTTTATATTGACTATCTCTGATCTGTTCAGCACAGTGGGGACAATCCCTACAGTCCCTGCTGGGGAGAAGAGTGCAGGTAGGTGTACCCTTACTCTGCAGGTAGAGCTTAATCACCTAATGTGATGTGATCTCTTATTAGACTGTCATTACAGGAGCCTGGGTTTTAATTTCGGCAGACTTCATTGAACATAATGTTCGAAAATTTTCATTTTAGGCAGGGTTGCAAACACTCTCAAGAAAACATAGACTTTGGCATAGCTTGCTTCATTACAATCCCACTTTCCCAGAGGTTTTGGTCTTTAATTATCCTATCAGCCTTTTCATACTTTTAGGGTGTGTATACATATACACACATATACTCTTTGTATATGCTTGTGTACATATATATATACACACACACACATACTCATTGTATATGTTTGTATATGTTTATATATATATATAATATTAAAATGTATATACACACAAATTTATTTGTTTTCAGTGGAAGAGATGTTTTGAAATATCCTAGCCCCTGTTCCTAGAGAAGAAAACAGTTAGCTAACATTTTTCAGTCACTTAGGTGAGGACTGAAAGCTGACACAGCTGTTAAAATTCATGTTAGATTTCGAGACTTCCCTAGCTATCCAGTGGTTAAGACTCTCTGCTCCCAATGCAGGGGGCACAGGTTTGTAGAAATATGATCCTGCACAGTGCAGCCAAAAAAACTTCATGTTTGATTTCTACCCATGGAAGAAAGACACTCCAAGCACTTGAGATAGGGAAAGACTTTCTTCATAATGATGGTAGTAGCTGACTCCTTTCCCTGGAGCAACAGAAATTACCAGTGACTACCAGGATACCTAGTCTCGAGATGCATTAGGTGGATAATAGTGTTGAATGGTGAGTGAAAGGAACAAGTTCTCTGTTCTAAAAACTGCAGTGCTCTGAGAAAGAAGGCCGAATGACTTCTTAAGTGAATCATTACTCACTTAATATACATTGCGGTCTGATTATTTACAGGGCATTTTTGAAAGGTTAAAAAAATATCCAGTGGTTAAGAAGGTCATGGAGAGAAGAGTTCCTCCTGTGAAATATCTTGTGCTACTGTTTAAAAAAGAATGTAATTACTGTGAAATACTTCAAGCACACAGACAACAAATCTCATGCATGCGATGTCCAGCTTTACCAGTTTTAACCTTATGCCATATATATGGGAGCAGAATCTGTCACTCCAAAATGTGTCTCTGGCGTCAGGATTACCTTGAGCTGGCTGTTTTTAAGAAACAGCACATAGAGGAGAAGCTCTGAAAACTGAACAGACGTTTTCTTTTTGTAACAGACATTTATACTTATAAGGGAAATCTCCATTTGTAAGGGTGTCTCCCTCTCTGTACCAGGAAAAAGAAACATTCTAAATTTCTAGAAAATCTTTATCAACTTCCACATCTGGCCTCCCTTAACCCCAAAACTTCTTTTGTCTTTAGTTTGTGATAGTATTTAAGGTGGTGGCTAGGGCCATAGTTTCCTGGTCTCTCTCATGTGTATAGGAAATACTGATTAAACTTTTTGTTTTTCTCCCATTAGTCTGTCATTTGTTACAGGAGTGTCTAAGCTGAGACCTACAAGGGTAGAGAGAAAATTAGTTTTTCTTCCTCTACACACATTTGCCTCAGATTTTATTAAAAGGAGCCTTACAGATATGATTCAACCACCATGTATCCCTTGCAAGTGCCTTTTCTTTCATCTTGAAAATAAATCATGTTCATCATTTTTGTGTGTTGTGTATTTTACATGTTTATGTATCCATGTTAATGGATACTTTTAAAATTTTATCATGTAGATATCCTTCTGAATTCTTTTCACTAGACAGTATGCTTTGGAGATTTGCTGCTAAATGCTGTTCTATTCATTTTAACTGTTCTAGTGTATGATTATGCTACTATTTGTTTTCCTGTTGGTGAACATTTAGGCTGTTTCTGATTTTTTAATTTTGCTTTAAAGAATAATGATGTAATATCTTATATATGTCCATGTATATACGTGTGTAAAAGGATTGTCCAGGTTGCATAGTTAGAAGTGGAATTGTGTCACAGCATGTGAATATTTCTAGCTAACTCTTTTAACATATTCTTTCAGCTACTTTCAAATTGCTTCTCCAGAGTGGTGCTATCAATTTATAGTTTACCAACAGAACATGAAAATTCCTAGGTTAGGCTTTATTATCTTTAATGAAGTGGTATTAACTCACTACTACGGTACTATTATACTACATACTATACTATAGTATATACTATACTATATACTACAGTAGTATTAACCCATACTACTGAGTTAATTTGCCAATATATTATTTATAATTTTTACATTTATGTTCATTGAGGAAACTGTTCTATAATTTTGTTTCCTAGGACTGTCCATGCTCATTCTGGTATCAGAATTTATTCTAGCCATGAAAATTGGATTGCTTAGGTTTCTATTTTTTGAATCCATGAAAAAGTTGGTATGACATAGGAATTCTCTGTCCCTTATAAACTTGGTCAAACTCACCTTTACAATCCATTGCCTTTGTAACTTTAGGGATAAGATTGTTGATTTGGTTTCTAGAATGGTGATTGGTTTATTCAGCTTCGATGAATGATTTTGACTATAGTTGGGTAAATTTTACATTTAAAGGATTTAATTTGGTTTAATATTAAAAATATTGATTCCATTGACCATTGTATACATGAGAGCTGCATCCATGAAAATAGAGGGCTCAACACCATTTTATATAAAGGACTTGACTTGAGGATCTGTGGGTTTTGGTATTTGCATGAGTCTTGGAACCCATCCCTTGCAGCTACTGAGACAACTGTGTATCCAAAATTGCAGTCTTATTCATTTCTAGTACTGCTTTCATGGCCTTCTCTTTCTGTCTTCTTTTGGATCAGTTTCATCAGAGGTGAGTTTTTTTCCCCATTTTTGGCCACACTGCAGAATGTGGGAATCTTCTGTGCCTAGGTATTGAACTCATGCCCTTGACATTAGGAGCATGGAGTCTTAACCACTGGACCCCCAAGGAAGTCCCAAGAGGTGAGTTTTCAGTAGGGTTTGAAGATCTCAGTTGTGGTCTTATTGACCTTTCTTTGATTTTTCTCTCATCTTTTTTTCTTTTCTGTTTCTTTAGGTTTACATGGTATTTTTTTTTTAAAGTTTCTTAAGTTGAAATTTTAACTTAACCTCTTTTTAACCTTTTTAGTAGTAAAAGCTTTAGCTGCATCCTACAAGTTTGCGTATATGTTTTTATGGTCATTCAGCAGCAGTAAGTATAATTTCCATCATGATTTACTTTGACAGTTTAGATGTGCATTTTAAAATTTCCATGCATGTTAGGCTTGTTTGGCTGTGCTTTCATTGTTTGTATTTATTAATCTAAATGCATTATTATCAGATAATAAGTTCTTTATGATACTGATTCTTTCAAGTTCCTTTGTGATTTAGAATTTGGTCTTTAAATTTTTGGTATATGGTCAGGTGTGTTTGAAAGATTCATATTTAGAATTTGTTTAGAGCAAGGTTTTATATGTTAGTGTTAACTACATTAGGTCAAGTGTGGTAATTTATTCAAAGGTTGATCTGTGTCTGTTTTGACAGAGTTCTATAAAAACATCATTCTAGAATTGTAATTTTTTCCATTTCTCTTCATATTCACAGGATGAAAAAGTTCTATCTGATATTTCTGGCCATCATTTTCTTTGTTCTTACCTTTTCCTCTTTCCTACAGCCTGGGGAATTGATAGTTTCCTATATTCCTCTAATTTCTTTCCTCTCTTTTATGTTTAATCTTAAGTTTTTAATAATTGTAAGTATTAAGATACCTTAAGATTTAGGAGGTGCTAAATAAAGTAGACTTTTATGGAACCACTTATGGTTGTGTATTTCTTGTCCTATTCATACAAAGAAGACTTCAGCATAAAAAACCTACTGAATAGCCTTTCCTTACCCTTATGTTGTTTCTTGCAGTTTTAGCTTTTATTTTCTTTCATGTTCTTGCATATTTCTTTCTTCCTTTAGTGAGGGTCTATAGGTGGTAGACCTTACAGAGTTTATCTAAAAATGTCATTCATTTTTTTTACCACAGGCTACTAAGAAGGGACAGAAACATGATATATACAGGTAAGAAGGGGGAGAAAGCAAACATACAGCTGTATTATTTGCCTTTGATTCTTCTGTTTGATAAAAGTAAATAATTTTCTCTTGACTGAATGAATATAGTAATGACCTAGGAGATTTTCGTGGCTTTCTTAGAGAATTAAAATCAGTGTTTCTCCACTGGTTGAGTGGGTGTACTTCCCTTGGGAATCTTTCTATTTATCAGTCCTAAGTGAACTATCACTTAAGTGTAGTGATAGTGCACAAATAGTGTGTAACTGTTTGCTATTTGGCCTTAAGTCTTTGAAGAGAATTGCTCCACTATTTTTTGGTTTCTATTGTTTTATTGCTGCTAATTTTCAGGTAATTTGTCCATAGTCTCTGGCAGATTTTAAGACTGTTTCTATTATTGTACAGTTTTACTACCAGGCACTATATCCAGATTTATTTTGTCATTCTCAATGATGACCTCTTCAGTATCTCTCTAACCATTCTTTCCTTGTTCTTCTATGACTTCTATTATGTGGCTGTTGGAGTCACGAAAATGTAATCAAGAGGAATGATATTTGGAATACATATTTATGTGGCATTCTGTATGAATACACAATACTTTACAATTTTGGTAGTTTACTCTTAGCCAGTCTAGAGTGAATTCCACAAATTGCATTTTTAGTTTCAGTGACAAGCTTTTTGCATTTTCAAGAGTTCTAAATATTTCCTTAGCTTGGTTCAGTTCTTAGTATTAAAAATTATGACTGCCTTCTTCATAGTTTCTGATAAAACTAAATGGTTTCTCTGGTGGTTCTGAAAGAAATTTATTTAAGCTTGACTAGGCCTTTTTGTTTTTATCACTTTGTTCTATCTGTCATGGCGTGAATTGGAACTAAGGGGTTTTCAAGATGGGAACTCTGTGACTTGGAAGCCCCCTGGGGTGGCTGTCACCAGGCACTGCTTGGTCTAGCTTGTGACAGTAGGGGGAAGGGAGGGAGTTCCACTGTAGAAGGTTGGGAATACCCTGAACCTACTTAGGGAAGTTTCTAAACATTTAATACAAATGCTCTCAGAAAGATTTGGTCTTTGCCAAGCTGAAATGGTTCTTTCCATAAAGTGGTCTCCCTGCACCCATCAATCTTACCTCGTCACACTATTGGCACAGAGGTTAAAAGGTCAAGAGTCAGCCAGCTAGGGTTTAGGCTTGCACTGCTTAGGGAAAGTTTAACCTCTTTATACTCATTTCTGTATCTATAAAATGGGAATTAGAAAAAATACCTAACACATGCATATGTTGCAAAATGATGTCCACAATAAATTTAGTAAACATCCATCACTTTGCAATACAGTTGACTCTTGAACAATACAGGTTTGAACAGCATAAGTTCACTTATACACAAATTTTTTTCCCACTAAATACATATTACACTACTGCATATTACACTGTTGCTTGAATCTGCGGATATGGAACTTCAGATATGGTGGGACAACTGTGAAGTTACACGTGGATTTTCCCGTGTGGAGGATTGGTGCTCCTAAACCCTAAATTGTTCAAGGATCAACTGTGTATGTCAAGTCCATTATGTTGTGCAACTTAAACTTATACAGTGCTCTGTGTCAATCATATCTCAACAAAACAAAACAAAAATTCTATCTAAAGGGCTTTGGGAAGTTAAGTAAGAAAGTACATTAAAATCATACAGATGTGTACCTGGCATGTGATTTTAAGCTCTATGTTTTTTATAATTATTATTGACTAGTCAAATTTAATAAGAAAGTTAGCATTACCATTTTGGATTACTAAAAAGTGATATTTGGACATACTTGAGAAATACTTTTGTGGAGACAGTCTTCTAATCTTTTACCCCCAAATTAAATGGACAGCACACCTCCCTAACATTGCCTCAAGTATGGTCAGATGTTTTCCTTGTCTCTCAAACACCCGTGAATTTTGAAATCGAAAGTACCTGTTTGGCAATTTACTGCCTCATTGTATTATGTGTCTTAGTTTTTTCATCCTGACTAGATGGTGAGCAAGTTGCGCCAGCAATTTTATCTTCTCTACTTCTTTATCCCTGTCAAAGTGGACCATAGATATGAGTTCAGCATGTGTGTATTCAGTGGATCAATGATACAGAGAGAAGCAGCTCAAATCTGAATGCAGCTGATGGACAGGAACACAATTTTTAGGCCCAAAGAGTTTGGGGGCACTTACCCAGGTCTTCATTTCCATTGCCTGGTGCAAGAGGATTGTGGCAAGGGAGATGGTGTTGATGGGTGTCCCAAAGGTAAAGACGTCGATATCAGAGTCCTTGTAGGTCTGCAGAGTAGGAACGAACAGGCACTGTCAGCTGTGCCCATGGACTGAAGGCCTTGGTTTGGACAAGTGATTGTAAAGCATCAGTGAAGGCAGGTGTCAAGGAAGGGGAAGGAATGAGGAGAAGCTGTCCAGCTACCGTCATGTGGAACTGACTGCAGGGACAGACAGGAGGAGGAGTGAGTTGATAGGACTAAACTCTTCAAAATGCATTTGCAAAGGAAGCCACGAAGAGTATCCAGAGCTTTTCAGAATGAGTAAACAAGAAATTGAGTACCTACCAGGCACAATGCCAACTGCTAAAGATACTCCTGTGTCCACTTTCAAGGAGTTTAGAGTCTCCTAGGCAGGAGTGGTACAGTTTAAGGGTGTAAATGCTAAAGTGGAAGCAAGTACAAGGCACTTTGGGAGTAGAGATGAGAAATCAGCTGAGCCTGTAGTAAGAGGAACTGTTTTCTTGAAAAGAGAGAGGAAAGGCAGATCAGGCAGAGGCCGGAAGGGAGGGTGAAAAGTCCAAATCATCCTAGATGGGATAGTCCTAAATGCTAAGCCTGTTAATCACATAGTAAGGGCAAAAGAGGCCTGACTAGGAAGGGTATTGTAAACCAGAAAATTCTGAGAAAGCACAAAATGTTTGCAGCCTCATCATCCATCATGTTGCTGTTTGCAAAAGAATGTGATCCAGAGACTAGGCAGACACCACAGTTTTCCTGGCACAAATGACTCCACATTTGAGCTCCTAGTCTGGGAAGAATACAGATATCCTATACATTCTCACTCTTTAAACTGGGGAACTGAATTGAGATGGGGCTGGTATCCTGTGCTCCCAGTATTCTTGTTTTATTTCAGATAAGGCAGTAACCTTTATTGTCAGAACTTGGAAGCACAAATGTAAATACAAATCAAGAGGTATAAACTCAAATACCTTCAATGTTCAAGTAAGAAGCAGTAAATGAGTGAGTGAAGATGGCTGGGCATGGTGGGGACTATGACAGACTAGAGAACAGGTGCCCTATCTAAGCAGGGTGGTGAGTCAACTCTGGATTTTTGCCATGACCCAGTGTAATAACCGCTTTTAGTTTCTTGGAAGCTGGCAGAAATTAAGATGTTTTTGGTAAAGTATTCTGACTTTCTGAATATGCTGGGTAAAGTGGAGTCTGCAGGCCTCCCATTTGGAGCCTCTGCTCTGAAGTGTCCAGAAAGATACTATTTGTCTGGAATTTCATATTAACAGGGCCAGTTCTCCCCTGCTGTTTGGATGGTTAGAATGGGACCATACAACTTACCAGGTAGGGGATAAAAAAACAGACGAGGCTCTGGTAGAACGCATCCGCCATGGAGATCCAGAAAGTCAGCAGGTTATAGCACTGCCAGGAAAGAACACATCGACAGTTACCATCATCCGAGCAAGCCTCTATTCCTTGTAAGCACCTTTCTTGTGTGTGGCTGGGCCAGACAACATGGCACTTAAAATGTTTCTTACCCTAGAGGCGATACAATGGATGATCGAGAGCACAGACCTGGGAGTGACAGGACCTCAAGTCAAGTTCCAGGCCTGTGTGACCTTAGTGAAAGTCACTAACTGCTTTGGGAATTGTTTCTTCTTCCATAAGAAGTAGGTAAAAACAGCACCGGCTAGATTTCCTTGAGTTTCAAGAGGTCTAAATATAACTGTGCTTTGGTACCTAGAAGGGGCTCGGCTGTTAATGATCATTAGTACTAGTGCTAATACAAACTTGGTAAGTTTAGAGATTCTGAATAGCATCTGAAACGGAGCTCTCGATCACAGCCCAGGATTACAAGTTCCCAAGAGACAGTTCAGTGGCTTCAGAGATGAGCTTTCTCATTTTGTGTTTCCTCCCCTGGGAACAGTGAAACCATTTACAGTGTGTGTTTCTGCTACATTAACTTCTTTTAATGTTAGATACTCAAGGAATACATTCTGCAGCCAGATCACCTATGGGAAGAGGACAATGAGAAGGGCCCAGGATATCGTGTGTCATCTCCACACCTCCCTCGCCTGAAGTGCTGGGGTTGCTAAGTTGCTCTCTATCTGTCTTTGGGTGAGTATGGGGCTTGGTTCTTCACTGGTTGTCCACAAGGTTTCACCAGCTCTCAAGCACCACATCTGGCTTTACCCTCCTTATCTGAGGTGTAGAGCTACCCTCGTGCATAGCGACATCCCTTTTCCCAGAGCTCCTCCTTTGAGGCCATCAGGTTCTCTCTCTGCCCCTGCATCCAGGTTCCCAGCCTGTCTGTGCTGGTCCGACTGCCTGCTGTGGGACCTTTCCAAATCATTTAGGGCATCATTCTGGCCTCTGTGCCTTCTAAGAAACTATTTTGATGGCTTTTAGCCCCAGGGATTCCTAAACCAAGCCTTGGGCATTCTGTTAAAGGCCTATAAATATCAGGTAAAAGTGATGCAGGCTTTCTGGAAGCCCTCTTCCCCTTTAACTAGCACAGGCCCATATTAATGTGTGATATAATTAAGAAATAACTAAAAAGAAAAATATCCACTAGTTTGGTCCATCACCTTCAACAGCAAATAAGAAACAGGCCAGGAACAGGGAGCAGACTTCCTGGGTCACATGGGAGGTAAGTGGCAGAGTGGTGACCAGAACACAGGATTTCTGGCCCAGCACTCCTTCTCTGACGCCTCCAGGGAGGAGCTGAAGGCCACCTCCCAGTCCTGCTGCCTGCCCGACCCCCTTACCTCGGAGTTCTGGCCGCTCTTGTACAGTTCCGGCAACGCCAGGAGTGTTTCCATAGAGATGTCTTTATCGAGGACTCCAAAGACAAGAGGAGGCAAGGAAGTGAAGAAGAGGTTGAAGAAGATCAGCTGCCAGTAGTCAATCATGGTGGAGCCGGAGAAACCGCAGAAGAACTGGTACCAGAAGAGCAAGTTGACGTAGCACTGTGGGCAGAGAGCACGGCCTTGTAAGTGAGGGCCCGAGGGCAGCCATCGCCGGACGCTGCTTAGGAGCTCGGACAAATAACTGCTCGGACTCGGAGTTTCCATTCCCTCACTTGTTACATGCAGGGTTGTCTAAGCATTAGAGGTAATTCCCCTCCTTAGATTCTGCTATTACTATTAGTACTAACCTTCTTTAGGACCTGAAGGGAATTCTATCAGCTTGTAAAGTATACTGTGGTGGTTTTTGGAGGCAGGGAGGACGGGCTTTGAATCCTCAGTTCTGTCATGTACTAGCTGTGTAACCTAAGACAAACTGTCTAACCTTTCTGCCTGTCATCTTGCCACCTTTCATATGGGAATAGTAGTATATAGACCATGGCCTGTGAAACCAAAAGGCAGTAAGTAGTTATGATTAGCAGTGCAGTAAGAGGAAAGATTTGACTGTGGGCAGGATGGCTGGTGGGAGGAGGATTTCATGAGGAGGTTGACCTCAAAACCCTTTCCCAATGGTCTCACAACTCAGAGGGTGAAGAATAAAATCTTATGCTGAAGTGTTGCTTTATGCTTTCTAAAGATCTTTTCACTCAAGATCTCCTCACTAGAGAAGGGCTGGGTCACAATTATTGTCTAACATATTGTGATGTGGTTTGGTGACTTGACCAAGGTCACGATACCAGCTGGTCCTGGCATTAGAACTAGAACTCTGCTCCATATGGCTGAGGCACAGAGGGGTAAAGGGATTTTAATGTAAGGAATCATTCAGTAGGTTTGTGTTCAAGCTAGCATTCTCATCTTCTAACTACTGGGCCAACGTTATTTTTAAGAAGCTCTCTGTTTGTTGTTATACTACTACTAGTAATATTAACATTTATATTATTAATACTACAATTATTATTTGAGCATCTATTTGTGATGGGTGTGTGCTAACAGTATATTAGTATACAGCACATTAGGTGGCACAGTGGTAAAGTATCCACCTGCCAATGCAGGAGACGAAAGAGACGGGTTCAATCCTTGGGTTGGAAAGAGTCCCTGGAGAAGGAAGTGGCAACTCATTTCAGTATTCTTGCTTGGAAAATTCCACGGACTAGTGGGGAGTCTGAAAGAGATTCTGGTGCTCTTAGACACACTGGACCTTGCATTTCTCTCTCTGAGGGCTGGGGTCCCGTCTTCCCACTCTAGTCCCATGATGCTGAAAGGGCTTTTCTGCTATGAGTTTTGATGAAGTTACTTCTCAGAGAAGGAGATTTGGGAAGGAGAGGGTTCAATCTCTTTCCTGGGCAGACTCTGAATTCCCAAAACAACATCAACCACTTATGCCTTGACAGGGTGGCTTTAAGAAAAACCAAAGGGGTAAAGTCTTGATACTAGTGTTTAGCAATCATGAGGCTTTGGCTTTTGTTTTTTGGCCCTTTGAGCACCTTCTCTTGCTTCTCCTTCTCCAGCTGACTGAGAAAGACACCCACTGTTAGTTCCATGTACACCAGGTGGCTTAAATGGCTCAGATGGAGTGACTGACTAAGTCCCTCGGCCAGTTGGGGCTGGAATTGTGACGTGAGGTTGTAGAATCTTAGGATGCCGGGGCTGGAAGTGACCCATCTACAGACAAGGCCAAGAATAGCAGTGGCAGCAATAACAAGAGAGACTCCCAAAGCACGTCCTAGGTGCCAGGCTCTGTACTGACCTATTCAGTCCACTTACATGCCTTATGAGGCAGTCACTGCTATCCTCATTTTACAATTGAGGAAACTGAGCTTCAGAGAGGTCAAGCCATGGGGCTAGGGTTACAGACTAGTGAATAGCAAAGCTGGAATCCAGACCTAGATGTTCAGGCTAAACAACATGCTGCTAACCAACCAGTGGATCACTGAAGAAATCAAAGAGGCAATACATACGTAGAGACAAATGAGATGATACAAATCCTATGGGACGTAGCAAAAGCAGTTCTAAGAGGGAAGTTTGTAGCAATACAATCTTATCTTGGGCTTCTAAGCTGGTGCAGTGGTAAAGAATCTGCCTGCCAATGTAGGAGGCGTGGGTTCAATCCCTGGGCTGGTAAGATTCCTGGGAGTAGGAAATGTATTCATTTCCACTGCAGTATTCTTGCTTGAGAAATCCCATGGACAGAGGAGCCTGGTGGGCCACAGTCAATGGGGTCCCAAAGAGTTGGACACGACTGAGCACAAACATACACAATCTTACCCCAAGAAACAAGAAAAATCATGAAGAAACAACCCAACTTTATGTCTAAAGCAACTAGAGAAAGAACAACAAACAAAATCCAAGGATAGTAGAAGCAAAGAAATCTTAAAGATTAGAGTGGAAATATTGAAATAGAGATGAAAACAATAAAAGATCAATGAAACTAAAAGCTTGTTCTTTGCAAAGATAAAAAAATTGATAAACCTTTAGCCAGACTCCCAAGAAAAAAAGGGAGGGCTCAAATCAATAAAATTAGAAATGAAAAAGGATACATGTTACAACAGATACCACAGAAACATAAAGGATCACAGAAAACTATTAATAAAATGGACAAATTCTTAGAAAGGTACAGTTTCCTAAGATGGCTTCACAGGCGAATCCTATCAAATATTTAGAGAAAAGCTAACACTTATCCTTCTGAACCTGTTCCAAACAATTGGAACACTCCCAAACTCATTCTATAAGACCACCATCACTCTGATACCAAAATCAGACAAAGATACCACCCACACAAATTACAGGCCAGTATCACTGATGAACATAGATGCAGAAATCCTCAACAAAAGACTAGCAAACCAAATCCAACAACACATTAAAAGGATTGTGCACCATGATCAATTGGGATTTATTCCAGGAATGCAAGGATTTTTCAAGATCCGCAAATCAGTGCGTTATAGCATATTAACAAACCGAAGAATAAAAACCACATGATCATCTCAATAGATGCAGAAAAGCTTTTGACAAAATTCAACATCCATTTATGATAATTCTCCAGAAAGTGGGTATAGAAGGAACATACCTCAACATAAACCCACACACCTATGGTCAACTTATGACAGAAATCTGCAAGAGCATACAATGGAGAGAAGACAGTCTAATAAGTGGTGCTGGGAAAATTGGACATCCTTTTACATGTAAAAGGATGAAACTAGAACATTCTCTAATACCATATACAAAAATAAACTCAAAATGGTTTAAAGACTTAAATATAAAACATTGCACCATAAAACTCCTAGAAGAGAACATAGGCAAAGCATTTTCTGACATGAATCATACCAATATTTTCTTAGGTCAAGGCACTAGAAATAAAAGCAAAACTAAGCTGGGACCTAATCAAACTATAGGCTTTTGCATGGTAAAGGAAACCATAAAATGAAAAGACAACCTATGAACTGAAAGAAAATATTGCAAATGAAGCAATCAACAGGGGATTAATCTCCAAAATATACAAATACATGAAACTCAATATATATCAAAAACCAAACCACCCAGTCAAAAAATTGGCAAATATAAATAGACATTTCTCCAAAGAAAACATACAGATGGTCAAAAAGCACAGGAAAATATGCTCAACATCACTAGTTATTAAAGAAATGCAAGTCAAAACTATAATAAGGTATCACCTTATAGCAGTGACTGAGCAACTTCACTTTCATTTCATAGCAGTCAGAATGGCCATCATCAAAAAGTCTACAAACAATAAATGCTGGAGAGGGTGTGGAGAAAAGGGAACCTCCAACACTGTTGGTGAGAATGTAAATAAGTACAATTGTTATGGGGAACAGTATGGAGGTTCCTTAAAAAAACTAAAAATAGAGCTTACTGTATGATCCAGCAATCCAACTCCTGTGTATACATCCAGAGAAAATAACTTGAAAAGATACATGCACTCAATATTCATTGCAGCACTATTTACAATAGCCAAGACAAGGAAGCAACCTTAATGTCCATCAACAGATGAATGGATATAGAAGATGAGTTTTGTATATACAATGGAATGTTTCCTCAGCCATAAAAACAATGATATAATACCATTTGTGGCAACATGGACCTAGAGATAATCGTACTAAGTAAAGTCAGAGAGAAAGATAAATATCATATAGTAGTATCACTTATATGTGAAACCTAAAAAATGATACAAATGAACTTATTTACAAAAGAGAAATAGACCTATGGATTTTGGAAACAAATGAAAGGTTATCAAGGGGGAAATGTGGGGGTAGTTTGGGATTAACATCTACACCCTATATAAAATCCATAATCAACAAGGACCTACTGTATAGCACAGGGAACTCTGCTCAATAGTCAGTTATATATACTAGAAAATTTGGGAAGGAGTAGATAGGATATGTGCATATGTCTGAATCACTGTTGTACAACAGAAACTAACATGACAAATTTACATTTATAAACATAATTTAAAATTGTAAACATTATAAATCAACTATATTCTAAAATAAAAATTAAAAAGAAATAATCTAATATAAAAAACTGAAGCTGTATTAAGTCTAAAAATAAAAAAAAATACAAGATTTCTGACCTTTGGTCTTGGACTTTTACCACCACATCATTTTAACTGCTGCACCAGGGATTTTCAATTAGAGACATATGTATAGTACACCCATGTAGCTCGGTGGTAAAGTATCCACCTGCCAATGCAGGAGACATGGGTTCGATCCCTGGTTGGGAAGATCCCTTGGAGTGGGAAATGGCAGCCCACTCCAGTATTCTTGCCTGGGAAATCCCACAGATAGAGGAGCCTGGCAGGCTGCAGTCCTGGGGGTCACAGAGTCCAACATGACTGGGCACACGTGTCCGTCTGCACAATACACCAGTGCTACTACCACGCTGTTCATGGACCTGTGTTGCCCAGGAATGTCTGTTACTGGTCCATGATAAAAAATTGAGAGTCAGCTTTTAGAAACTTATATAAGCAATCTGAGAGAGTAGTTCATGCCTGTTGAATGTAATAAACAATTTGAACGTGTTTAAAAAGATAATTGGCATCTTATCCCAGGTTACAGGTGTGACCAAACGCCTCCCTTTATGGTTCCTGATCACACTTTTATACTTCCTTTATAACTTCCTTACTGCCTTGTGTTTTTTACTGAAAGTCACTTACACTTGGTTTTGGAATTAGATATAACATACATTATAAAATGATGAGTAAACTTCCTGAAATATTTCTTGTAAGGACTCAGGTTGTCAAACATCTCCTCCTTGGTCGGGGAATGGAGTAACTCATAGTTGAATCTTGTCTTTCAGGCAATAGCTTAAATGCTATTTTCTTCTGGATTGATTAGGTCAAAGTCTTCTGGCAATATGTTCATGGTACCCTGATCTTCCTCTAGGGGAGATGCACCAAGAAAATGTTTTAAAAGTTTTCATTTCTTTTCCCCTGTCCCAGTGCTTGTCAGGCCTTAAGGCTTGTCAGGCTTGTCTGTGCTTGTCATATGGATCACCCAGGGATCTTTTTGACAATGCAGATTCCAAGGTAGTGGGCCTGGAGTGCAGCCCAAGAATCCCATTTCTAACAAGCATCAATATGATGCTAATGCTGCTGATCCAAGAACCACATTTGAGAAGATTCATTGAAACCATTCTGCACAAGTCCAGCCATAAATAAAGTTTTACTGGGACACAGTCACAGTGGTTCACTTGCATATTGTCTACAGCAGCTAGAGTGGAGCTGAGTTGGTGCGACAAAGCGACAGAGGCTGTACTTCCACAAAGCAGAAAATATTGATGATTAGACCCTTTGTAGAAAAAGTTTGCTAAGCCCTGATTTAGACCATATACCTCATGAGAGCAGGGAACATGTCTGTCTAGATGTCTGCTCCATATCCAATGCCTGATACTGTTCCCGACACAGCAGTTGTTCAATAATTATCTGAATAAACGAATTACATCTTGGTGGTTCTGTTGTCCTAACACCCAACCTGGAGTTTGAACATGAAAGTATGTTTCCTTCCCCTTAGGTCATGTTAGGACCTTGCTTGGTTCTACCTGCTCTGCCTGGCTGAAATCTCTGCACCTCGAGGGGAGAGCGCCAAACTGTGATGTCAGATGGCATGGCTGAGATTGGGAGCCTGCTTTTCCTCCTCAAAAGCTACAGTGCATAATTAATTCATTGTTCACATTTCAGAGCAGGCAGGGTTTTAATCCCCTCTGAAATTGGTTTTGGATGTGGAAGTCATAGTTCTCCACCCTCTAATTGCAAAGGGGAGATAATACAGCATTGGTATTGAAATTTTGAGCATGGCATCAGGCTGGAAATAAATATCATTTAAGCTTTGAAAGCATGGCTGGCTGGAAACGTTTCCTTTTCTATTTCACAAATTTAATGCAAAGAAGTTGTGCTTATTCAAAAGAATGATTCTTTTGGAGACAAGGAGAAAAAAACATTAAATGGGGGCATTTTAAATTCTAAATAAGCAGTCTTTCAAGTCAGATAGAGACTTGTTTGCATAGACTTGTTGAAATCATGGTGCCATCCAGTTTCTTAAATTTACATTACTAATTGTCATGCAGCTTATTTACATATACATTGAACTCTGCACAGAAATGCTTATTCCTGAGTCAGGGTAACTATGACGGTGCCTGAAAGCAGGCCTGGGAGAACAGATATATGCCATTTTGTAACTCCTATTGCACTGATATGTTTCCCTTCCATCACTCTGGTCTTAATCTTCCCCTTTTCCTTATGCAAACAGGATTCTATTTGGAGTCTCCTGGGGATTATTTAAAGGTCCCTGAGCTGGATAATGGGAAACACAGGCCCTGTTCCCTCACTTAGTAAGGCAGTGCTCTGGCTTCTTCCTATGCCCATTGTTAATCAAATGCTTTGCAAACAACAACCTCTGGGAGCTTTAATACCTCAGTTGGTGTGTGCCTGCTTTGGGCCCTTATCAACAAGACAGAAATACACGTTTTTTAGAGAAACTCATAATGACTATTTATATCGTGCTACATGCTACCTAAAGCTCTGATGATAAAGCCTGTTGATAATGCTCTCTGAGGACAGCGAGAGTCCTAGTCTCCCCGTATTATTGATGAGGGAATCAAGGCTCAGAGAAGTTAAGTAACTCATTCAAGTTCACACCGCATATTAGAGTCAAGCCAGACTAAAGTCCAGATGATCACTGTACTCTAAGTATTTTTGCAAATAGATATTTTTTTAAAAAATTATTTTTGGCTGTACTCTCAGTACATGGGATCTCAGTTCCTTGATCAGGGATTGAACCCATGTTCTCTGCATTGGAAGTGCAGAGTTTTAATCACTGGACCACTAAGAAAAGTACAAGTCCTGGCTGGGAAAGCTGGCAATGCTGAAGTGATATGTAGGGTCTTGGGTGGAAGCCCAGGATTCCAGTCCTAAACTTTTCACTCTCCCAAGAGGCAGAATGGGGCTCTTGCATTCGTCTGTCTCTATCTGGGGAGGAAACCTAAGCAACAAGACACACTAGCTGATCTTCAAATCCTTCCTCCTTGCAGTCAGAAAACAAAGCTCAATTATGGAGTCCCTCTGAGAGTCACAACAGCAGTACCAATGATAAAAAAGAATGGCTAATTTTAGAGGGTGATCACTACATGCCAATCACTTTCTACACAAGCTGTCATTTCATCTTCATAGCAAGTATATGAGAAAGCTACTATCACCATCCCTATTTTTCGGACGGGGAAACGAATGTATGAAGCCATTACCGAATACAGGAACTTCTATTTGAATCAAATCTGATCTGACTCCAGAGTCCATGCTTAGAACTACTCACAGTACTGCCTATGTGCCACATGCTTTCCAGAGAGCACTGCTAGTCTTCACAATAACCTCACTGAATAGTACCAGCCCCATTTTATCAAAGAAGAAATTGAGGCCCAGAGAACTGAATTGTCTTGCCAAAGGTTCCCTGGTGGCTCAGATGGGAAAGTGTCTGCCTGCAATGCGGGAGACCTGGGTTCGATCCTTGGGTCGGGAAGATCTCCGGGAGAAGGAAATGGCAAGCCACTCCAGTACTCTTGCCTAGAAAATCCCAAGGACGGAGGGGCCTGGTAGTTCTCAGTTCATGGGGTTGCAGAGAGTCGAACACGACTCCCTAAGTACAAGGTTACTGAGCTGGTAAGGGACAGTTGCAGGATTCAAAATCCAGGTCAGCCTGACTCGTTCCCTTATGCTGAGATGCTTTGTCTGGCTGGGCGGGAGGGAGGTTGCAGCGGGGCTACTTACCACGTTCTTGTAGAAGTAGTATACCACCATCCTAGCCAGGCGCGAGTAACACCAGTGGCCATGCACAAGCAGGAGCTTCTTGAGGTGTCTGAAGCGGGAGACCGCGAAGTCGCTGGACATGACAGCCTGAGAGGCAGAGCAGACATACCAGCTTCCATCCACGGCTGCTAATGGACCAAAGAGGCTCCCCTGAGAGTGCGCTCTGTTCTGAGGTCTGCAGTAGGTAAGGCCTGAAAGACCCTTTGTCACAGACAGCACCCTTGACTGACTTTTTAGACTCTGACACCCCACCCTCTCCTTTGGGAAATCCGGATCTCACTAGAGCCCAAGGAGGGCGGTCGGAAGGGGCAAGGGGTCTGGTCTGGCTCTTCCCCTCCTTCACTTATCCAACAAGCATTTCCTGTGAACCAGTGTGTGTTGAGCACCATGCTAGGCATGTGATGGTTGCCCAGAGATTGGGGGCTTCCGTGCAAATTATCCTCAAACCTCTCAATACCCTTGGCCACCTCCCGAGACAGGCCTTCTACACCAGTCTCAGGTGGAGCTGCTGGCTGGATAGCTGTCCCTTTCTACAGAGCCAAAATGTGTCTTCTGCCCTTGGGATGACTCAGAACTAGGCCCAGTTCATATTACTTTTCAGAGTAGGAGGTTTGGACATGCCTGGTTATAAATCCTGGTCAGAGCCTTGGTCGAGGTGTTTAACCTCTCTCAGCCTCAGTTTCCCCATCAGAAAAAAAGTGGAATAACAACCCCTAACACACAGGGTGGTAGTGGCTACTGAAACTGGGATAATAAATGTGAAGTGCAAATAGCATGCTGGCCTATGATAGACACTCAAAAAGTGACAGTGTTCGTTCCTCCTCACCAACAAATTTAGGTAACACCTAATGTCTGCGCTGGTGGTGGGAACACACACAGTTGTTAATGGTTCAGAACTACAAAGTCTTAATGGGGAACTGTCTTAATGGGAAACACAGCAGCTCAAGTTAGTATGCTTGTTCCAGGCTGAATTTTAAGTAATATTGGTACAAGCAATGTGTAGGTCCATCTAGCCTTCACAACTAAAATGGCAATTGAAAATTGTTTTCCAGTTGTTCACAAAGGGTGTTGTAACCTTGATGTGGGCAGGGGTTGCAGGAAGGAAGCATGGAATCAGGGGGAAACTTAGTTTTTCCTGAATGGCTGGGTACTATTTGGCTTTAGAATACAGGTATAGTTGGCTGTCTGTAAAAAGCCAAGCATCCTTTGATCCCTATTCTGAAAGACTGGCCACTTAGGGATGCGGTGATAGAGGTTATACATAGGCAGGGAAGCCCCCTGCCTCTCAGATGATAATTCTGCAAAGCTCTTTAGGAGTTCCTCCAGCACTGAGGGGGAATTCCTATATTCACCAATAAGGATAAAGGAGAGTAAGAAAGTAACAAGGAGTTGAAGGAAATGATACCTGCATGCCTTCCTGTCCAGATATTCCAATCCCAATATCAGCAGCTTGAATCATGCTTACATCATTTGCTCCATCACCTGAAAGGAGAGTAGTCATGAGATCCTGGTCCAACTGTTGTGAGACAATGAGAAGTTTTATATAAGTGACTCTAGATTGTCTCCATTTTCACATAATTGAATCCTTTTAATGTTTCTTTGAATAGTCCTCTGGAAAAGCCATTGCTACAGTCACTTAGCCTAAGAGATGTCTTTTCTTCTTTGGACAAGAAACCCTACTTTTCTTTTATTGTTCAACAAATACATACACACCGCCTTTCATACCAGCATTGTCAAACGCATTTTTGTGTGATAGAAATGTCCTGTTCTTTACTCTCCAATTTGAAAACCATTACCCTCCTATGAACACTGAAATGTGGCTGGTAAATTTCTATTTAATTTGAAGTGTAATGTTAAATAACCACATATAGCAGGTGGGAACCATTTTGGACAGCACAGTTCTATAAACAGTGAGATCTTTTTCACAAGCCTGACTTTTTCCAATGCCTTATCCTTCAGACCAAAGCTAAGCAAACTTTTTCTGTAAAGGGCCAAATAATAAATATTTTAGGCCTTGTGGGCCAAGATGCAATATTGAACAACTGTTCTTTCTGAATGACAAATAGATTTTTACACATTTTACCAGTAAAAACATAAAATCCATTCTTAGCATCTCTACAGAAATATGCAGTGGGCTGGATTCAGCCTGAGGGCCACAATTAGTAGACTGAAATGACTTCCTTTCTCTCCTGGCCCCACCTGTTTTTCCAGTAGGTTCTCATAATAATGTGGAAATATATGATTACAAAGAATATGCAATTGGGGGAGAGAATATTCTAATTGTCTGGCAACAAAATTTATTAATCTTAAAAATGTTGTCACTGTAACTAGCTGTTACTCTTCTAATGATTTTTTCCTTGGTAGCATAGCAGCACATAGTTTTCATCTTCCCTGTGGCAGAACAAATCTACCCTTTAACCTCTTCTGTTGGCAAGCCAGGGGAAGTAGAGGTGTGGAATCTTATTTTTCGCCCTGCTGGTTTTGTTTCTGCTGCGGTGGCACTGAAGCCAGCCCTTTACTTCAGGGAGTTGATCCTGGGCTATTGCCTTAAATGTATCTGCAGCTTTCAAGAGGACAGTTTAGGGAATAAAATTAGGATGCAGTTGGTAAGACTTTGCTCCCTGTATTCTTTCTGCCAATCCCCTCCTTTTTTTTTTCTCCTGGTTTTGAACTGCTTTTACCTGAAGACCAAGAGGGAAAAAATAAAAACCAACCCCCTACTCCCGCTAAAAAACAAAAAACCAACAACAATGTAAAGTAGGTCTCTTATTCGAAATGCCAGGAAAGAAAATTTCTTTCCATATCTGTGTAGGAGTAAGAAAACCTGAACCATCTATAAGAATGTCCCTAAATGAAAGCAACGTTTACCATATGCTTGGTATGCGCTGAGTACACGATGGGATTAAGTAAGACTGACATTGTCCCTCCATTCAAGGAACTCCTGGTCTCCTGGGCAGCCCATCACCAAGTTGTAACAGAGCTGTGGAGCCAGCAGAGTGTACAGTAAAGCAACATTGGCCTGACTAGAGGAGGTTTTACAAAAGGAAATGGCTTGAGCAAAGGCCAGGAGGTGAGAGAGAATGGGGATCCTGGAGAATGGTAAGCAGCTTCCTATGGCTGGAACACAGAGTGCTGAATGTTGGCGGGAGGAAGGTGGCTGGAGGGGTAATGGAATCCAGATCAAAAGATTCTTATCCAGGTTTGGATGTTTCTGGAAGGTTTGAAGTAAGGACACTTTTAATTTCTCTGCTTCAACCACGACTAAAATTTAATCTCCTATAAGGAATTTTTCATCAACCTACAAGCCCCTATTTATTGAGGGTATGCTTTATGTGGAGTCTTGTATTTAGAAATGAGTGTATATACATTCATTTAAATGTGGGGCAGGCTCCACTTGTATTTATTTATTTTTTCATTTATTTTTATTAGTTGGAGGCTAATTACTTTATAAAATCTCCCCACTAGCCATCAACACTCAGCAGAATATCAAGTCCACAGACGCCTGAGGTGCATGGTATTAGGATTGAAGGGGACACGGTCTGCATCCCAAATTAAGGGAACCTGACTGTATACGGATCTACCTGGGTGTTCTGAACTTGGCTTTGGCCTCCATCCAAGTGCTGACATTTCCTTAGCAGAGAACTCGGGTTCGCTCCCCCACCCTGCTTAGCCTCTGCTTGCTCTGCCGGCTGTCACGTCCTGACTGTCACTTTGACGATGCCTTCAGCCTGGGCTCCCTGACTGTGACCCCTGACCTCCGGGCTCTGGTCCAGGTGGCATGTCAGAGTGGCCTTGCCGAGCCTGCCCGCCCGCACCTCTCCACGCCGGGTACCTATGGAAAGGGTCGTGACTCCCAGCCTGCCCCGCACCAGCTTGACCAACATGCTCTTCTGCAGCGGGGTGGCGCGGCAGCACAGGACAGAGCGGCAATACCGGCTCAGCTCCAGAAACTTCTCCTCCAGCTTCCCCTGGAAAATAGCACTCAGTGTCTTCCCATCGATGACCAGCCCAACATCTGGAACTGCAGCTCCTGAGGTCGGGGATGGTGTCGCAGAAGGCAGGCAGAACCCACAGAGCTTGCGGTCTGGCTTCAGAGGTCCGTGAAATTGCTTTACCTCTTCCAGTGCCAAGTTGAGGATGGAGTCACAGGTTTCCTATAAAGAGTATAAAGAGCACAATAATCAATTTGGTGTTAGTAAGCAACACTGGAAACGTAGGTTTAAAGCCTCGCCTCATCCTCTGGTAAAAGACTTATAAAACTACTACCATAGAGATGACCTGGGAATCACTCTGATTTTGACATTTCTCTGGAGTATTTCAAACAGCATCAGAGCAAGAATAATTTGGAACCACATTAATGGCCCAAAGAGAGAGCAAGCTTGGGAATGAGAGTGAAGATAGCTCAGTAAGATGGGGACTGATACAGGGATGAAATCGTTTATAAACGATACTGATGAGATGGTAAATGACGACAATGTGTTAGGCTGGTACTGGGCTTTCCATTTCTTACAAGTCGTTTCCCTTCTCCTTTGTTCCTCAGAACATACCTGTGTGGTAGGTAGGGTGGGTATTACTGACTTTAGCTTAGAGATGAGGAAATTGAAACTGAAATCCTTAGTAAGTTGCCTAATTTAGTAGTGGAGGCTGATCATTATGATTCAACTTGTGGCTTTGTAATCGAAAAAATACATTGCGTACTTTATCATTGGTACAAATGTATTGGTCACACTGGTTGAAATTCACTATGAACATGAGTCTTACTGGTTTAAATAAACTTCTTATTTTTTCTGATGTTTATCTTGAAATATGGGGAAGAAGCTATTTCCTCTTATCAATTTTTCTCTATTACTTTTGAATATATCAAAGATAGAGACAGATATGAATCTAAATATATCCTTAATACCTCTTTCACTTATGTAAACATCACTTTTAAATGAAGATAGAGAAAAGTTGTGGAAATCAGCTGGAATACCAATTTTAATTGCATTGTTTTGTTCACAGGGTCTTAATTTAGCAGTGTTCTCTTATCTGTGGCAAGAGATGATATTTCATTTATTGCACTGCTGAAAAATTCTTCTAAAAAGAAATCTAAAAAATTTCATTCTATTTAAATGAACTTATTAAATAAATAACAGTATAGGTAGTATATGAATTTAGGCAAAAATTGTGAAGTTTGTTCTGAAATGGCAAGTTTGAAGACCATTGATCTAGGAGCTGCTAAGACTATTTGGAATCATTCCTTCTGAAGTGAGTAGAACTGCAGTTCATTATTCTGGAGCCTTCCTTTAGGGGATGCTAAACTGAGACTGCAAGCAATAGGGCATGCATAGGACCCAGAGGGGCCACAAGAAGTAGGTCAGGAGTAGGTGATTACAGCTGAAGCAGTTCTCTGGGAAAGAGAGCAAAGTAGTCCTTGCTGGAAGCTAGGGTTAGCACAATTTATATAGAGGCATACCTTGGCGATATTGTGGGTTTGGTTCTAGACTACTGCAATAAAGTGAGTCACGTGAATTTTTTGGTTTCCCAGGCCATATAAAAGTTATGTTTATATGGCAGTCTATTAAGCATACAGTAACATTATGTCTAAAAAAGTGTACAGGTATGTACAGAATGAATGTTGTGTCAGCAGGCATGAAAGCAAAATTAATCTCATTGTACATCTCCATCAGAGCTCTTGGGTGACCAGGTGCATTGTCAATGACTGGTAATATTTTGAAAGCAATCTTTTTTTTTTTTTTTCCCTGAGCAGTAGATCTCAATAGCAGGCTTAAAATAATCAGTAAACCATGTTGTCCACAGATGTGCTATCATCTAGTCTTTGTCATCCCCTTTATGGAGCACAGGTAGGGTAGATCTAACATAATTTTTAAGGATTCTATCACTTTTCGAATGGTAAGTGAGCACTGGCTTCAACTTAAAGTCAGGAGACGCATTAGTCCCCAGTAAGAGAGTCAGCCTGTTCTTTGAAGCCAGGCATTGAGTTCTCTCTAACTAGAGTCCTAGACAGCACATTTTCCCAATATACGGCTGTTTTGTCTACATTGAAAACCGGTTCTTTAGTGTAGCCACGTTCATTAACGATCTTAGCCAGATCATCTGGATAACTTGCTGCAGCTTCTACATCCGCGCTCAGTCCTTCACCTTGTACTTTTATATGATGAAGATGACTTCTTTCCTTAAACCTCATGAACCAACCACTGCTAGCTTCAGATTTTTCTTCTGCAGCTTTTTTACCTCTGTCAGCCTTCATGGAATTGAAGAAAGTTAAAGCCTTGCTCTAGCTTAGGCTTTGGCTTAAGGCAATGTTGTGGCTGGCTTGATCTCTCCAGATCACTAAAACTTTCTCTTTATCAGCGATGAGGTTGTTTCTCTTTCTTATCATTTGTGTGTTCACTGGTGTAGCACTTTTAATTTCCTTCAAGAACTTTTCCTTTGCATTCAGAACTTAGCTAACTGTTTGGCACAAGAGGCCTAGTTTTTGGTCTCTCTTGGCTTTCCTCATGCCTTCTTCACTAACCTTAATCATTTTTAGGGTTTGGTTTAAAAGATGTACAACTTTTCCTCTCACTTAAACACTTGGAGGCCACTGGAAGGTTATTAACTGGCCTAATTTCAATACTGTTGTGTCTTAGGGAACAAGGAGGCTTGAAGAGAGGGAGAGAGATGGGGAACAGTTGGATGGTGCAGCACTCAGAACACACGTAACATTTATTGATTAAGTTCACCATCTTATATGGGCATAGTTTGTGGCACCCTAAAACAGCAAGATCACTGATCACAGATCACCATGACAAATACAATAATAATGAAAGAGCTTGAACTACTGTGAGAATTACTAAAATGTGACACAGAGACCCAAAGTGACCAAATGCTTTTGGAAAGAAGGCATTAACAGACTTTCTCAATTCCATGAAACTTCAGTTTGTAAAAAACACAGTATTTGTGAAGTGCAATAAAATGAGGTATGCCTATAAATTCCTCCAACATATGACTGCAGCAAGTCATTGGAAATAGAAGCTTCAAAATAAAATCTCTGAATGTACTTCCTTCAAATTGTCTATATAATAATCACAATTGTTACCATTCACTTAACATTTAGTACCTATCAGCTATGGTGACAGGCAGCCTCTAAGATGGTTCTCAATGATCCCTATACCTTCTGATAGTCAGGTCCTTCTTTGTGTAATCTCCAACCCTTGATTGTCATTATGACTAATATTTCCTTTCTAATGAAGCAAATTTTGCACAAGTGATGGGATGTCACTTCCCAGGTCAGTCTATCAAAAGACTGTGGCTTCACTTTGGCACTCTTTCCCATTCTCTCTCTTGAATGGCTTACCCTGGGGGAACCAGCTGCCATGTTGTGAAGTATCTCTATGGAGAGGCTCCCATGGAGAGGAACTGAAGCCTACTCGGTCATGTCCATGAACTTGGAAGGAGGAGGACTCCCTATCCCTAAATGACCCATCCCATTGAGCCTTTAGATGAGCTCACATCCCTGACTGCAACCTCAAGAGATACCCTGAACCAGAGGTACCCAGGTAAGCGCTCCTAGACTCCTAACCCATAAACACTGTGGGATAATAAGTATCCACTGTTTTTAGCTACTAAGTTTAGGGGTAATTTGTTAACTCACAGAAATCCTGTGTTAATAACTATATTTCTTCTATGATCTTATTTAATCCTCCCAATAGCCTCTGAAATAAAACTTTTTAATTCCCCATCTTACAGATGAGAAGACTGAAGTTTGGTGAAGTATGGTATCTGGACCATAATAAGTCTTCAATACATGTTGTTAGTTATAATAATAATAGTTGCTATTACTAGTTCCTGTCTAACCCTATGGGTTCCTCTGGTGGCTCGGTGGTGAAGAATCTGCCTGCCAATGCAGGAGACACAAGTTTGATCCCTGGGTCGAGAAGATCCCCTGGAGAAGGGAATGGCAACCACTCAATTATTCTTGCCTGGAGAATTCCATGGACAGAGGAGCCTGGTGGGCTACAGCCCACGGGGGTCACAAAAGAGTTGGATGCAGCTGAGCGACTAAGCAACAACATCTAATACTATCTAGTCCCTTCTAAAATTCNCTGCATTGCAGGCAGACTCTTCACTGTCTGAACCACAATGTATGTAAGCTTCGTGCCCCCATCTTAGTTTTAAAAATGTTTGGCTGCATGTGGAATCTAGTTCCCCAAGAAAGAAAGTGAAAGGGAAGTTGGTCAGTCGTGTCTAACTCTTTGCGACCCCAGGGACTGCAGCATGCCAGGCTTTCCTGTCTTTCGCTATCTCCTGGAGTTTGCTCAAACTCATGTCCTTTGAGTCAGTGATACCGACTCTGTGCTATCTCTGTACCCACTACTTTCTCAACAGGATGAGAAAGCCTAATCTTTCAGGTTTAGTGGGCCCAGGGGTGTGGGCAGTGCTCAACATTTAGGTACCATCTTGGAGGGTCATGGACATCTTTAAAATGGTTGATAGTGATTGAGTTCAACTTGGGTGTGACCTGCTGTTTCTTGGGAAATTCGGCTAATGAATCAACAAACATCCTCAGCTTCTTACAGGAAGGCATTGCATTTAACAGAATCCACAGAAAACCACTCCACCCTCCTCAGGAGGACTCATAGGCTTGTTGATGTCCTCCTCCTGGAAGTGAAATGATCATTGCAAATGGAATTGCCATTGCAAGCTGGGCAGGCAGACATCCACACTGTTACAGGGATCAAGCACTCAAGTGAGATGCAAATTACTTTCTTTCTTAAGCATAATATTAATGCCAAGATTACCCCGAGATTGTTTTCATCTTGAAAATTCACTGGGGTTTCATCTAATCATAGCATAGTCTGCACCTGACAAGAAAGTAAATTATTTTCCTAATTCATCTTTAGTTCACTTTAGGGTCTCTGGCATTTCTTATTAGGATACACCATTTCTTTAAAAAAAAAAAAAAATACATGGATTCTTCATTGAATGAAAACCAAACTGAAACTTGTAAGCATCTGTTTTGGGTCCAGATCCGCTCAGGCAAAAGCAAAGGAGTGAGATTCCATCATCCTTCCTGCCTCTCTCTCTGTGCTGTTCTTTCCATCTCTCATCTTCCTCCCTCTCTCCACCCTTCTCCCCCTGGAATGTTCTAGGTCTCCAGTGCCCTCCACCCACCACTCCCACAACCCAAGAAAGACACCTTTCTTGTTCCAACTCCACATCTAATCCAATACTGCTGCCTTTGATAGGGGCAACTGACTCAACACCTACTTCCCATATTCATCAGCCAAGGAGCTAGTGAAATTTTACTTTCTCCAGTTTGCATCATGAACATAGGTTTTTTTCCCTCCTAAACAGAAAAACCACTGCAACTTTAAATACACTTCTTTAGACTTTATATAGCCCTCTTTCTCCAAACATTGTTCTCAGCCACTCATAACCTATTAAGGCTGAAAATTGCAGTTTTTGAACTTGGCTTATCTCTCTCTCCCATCGCATCAAAGCATACTGGTCTTGTGTACTGCTCTCTTCAGATTTCATCCTGTGGCAACCAGTTTGATACTACAAATTGGAGCTGAAATTTTAAACTCAGAACCATGTCAATTTAGTTACGGTTTTTCAGTGGATGAGTTAATCCAAAGTATAAGAAACTAACAACTGAGATTCTGTGAGCAGACAGTCTGGAATAATGCAAATAGCACTGACCTGACCAGAGAAGGGCATTCTAGACTTAGTCTGTCTGTCAGAAACAAGGTGGCCCTGAGAAGATGACTCAGCAACTCTGTAGTCCTCAGTTTCTCATATATAAAATGGGGAGGCTGGGCGAAGGGCGGGATTTGAGAGAGCCACACTTTGCTACTGTTTTGTTAGATGTAATATAAATAGACCAGTCAACCATGTGTGGGGATGAAGCAGAGGACCAGGACTGCGTGAGGGCCAAGATTTGGGGTGGTGCTGCCCCTGGGTACCCGTAACCCTGTCTCCTGTTGGCCTAGGTGCCACTCTGCACTTGGACATCTGGGGTCTACTTTGGTCTCACCTGACTTTCTGTGTTAATGGAGTAAACGGTGTCTGTCTGGTCTAAGAGTCTGCAGGCATAGGCGATGTTGACCGCAGTCTCCTGCTTATCTCCAGTCAAGACCCAGAGATGGATCCCAGCCTCCCGCAGAGCAGTGATGGTGTCTGGAACACCTTCCTGCAGCCGGTCTTCAATCCCAGTGGCTCCTGGAGTGAGCAAAGACAGCATAGCTCACATTTATGTTGGAAAAAGGAGCTGCTTAATCTTCCCAAAGCCCTGTCAAGCCAGGCAGTGATTATTGATTATCTCCATGTTCTAGGCTGTGCTAAGCACCCAGGATACAGCAGTAACAGAGACACGGCTGGTCCGCATCCTCTCTGCGCTCAAAGGCTTGTTGAATAAGGATTTAAAACCGAATGATGGGAGGAGAGAAGCCCAGCGTGCTGGGCAACCATATACCCGGAGACTTGAACTTCATCTAGAAGGTCAGGGAAGGCCTTGCTCAGGAAGAAAAACAAGTGTAAGTGTCAGTCTTTCTGTTGTGTCCGACTCTTTGCGACCCCATGGACTGCAGCCCACCAGTCTCCTCTGTCCATGGGATTCTCCAGGCAAGAATACTGGAGTGGGTGGCCATTCTGTTCTCCAAAGGATCTTCCTGACCCAGATTCTCCTGCATTGTAGGCAGATTCTTTACTGTCTGAGCCACCAGGAAAGTTGGAAGTGCCGTTCAATCTCAGAGCTGGAAGATAAACCCTAGAGGTGGGGAAGAAGGAGAATTCCAGGCAGAGAGAGCAGCATGAGTGAAGGTCTAGAGGTCAGAGTAGAAGATGACACAGAAAGGGAGGCAGAGCTGGGTGAGAGATGAGGCAGGGAGGGGAGGTGCTGGGTCATGCAGAGCCCGGCAGGGTGTGAAGGGATTTGGCATTTACTTGGTAGCAAATTAAAGGCAGTTAAGTTGGAGAGTGACGGACAGTTTTGAATTTTAAGATCATTCTGGAGACTGGATTGGAGGGTAGAGGAAGCAGGATGAGGTTCAAGGCTAAGAGTCAGAGGAAAGCTGGTGTGGTTGGACTGGCATAGCAGCAAGAGGAGTGAAAGACATGGGGACACTAGTCTTTCCTCTGCAAGTGCTCACCCTAGAATTAATAGAGCTGGGTTTTTAAAATAATATTCTTAGAGGGAATTAAAGATGTGAATTCCATCATTTTTTGAATGGTCTCAAGCTCTGAGCCAACCTTGATGAATATATACCCAAACATCCAACATCCAATGGTTGCCAAGTGATTAAGCAAAAATAAATCTGCATTTTAATTGAGATTCGTTTCAGACCACAGACTAATGGCTGTCCATTTCACTCTGGGCAGGAGTGAAGCATGCCGTTTCTTTTAATAATCCCGAGTGACAATATGTTGACAAAGCAGTCACACTGGATGCATATTGAAAAGATCATTTTGTACTGGGAGACCCGGTGTGAATGCAATGCAGCTTCTGAATGGCAAGGCAATTTCTTGGTGGCAGGATGAATTCTCTTCCCGGCCCCAGTCTGCTCTATCCTAAGCCACTGTGAGGGAAGAAAAATAAACCTCTCCATCCTGAAATGGGCCCATTTTGTATTTCAGGCCCAAGTGCACTGGAGAACTGTTCCATGAAAAATGATGCCTGACCCTCATCTTTTCCTCCAAGCATTAACCTGGAAGGTGAGAGACTGAAGCGGATGTGTATTACAGGGAGGAAGAGTGAAGGAGAGAGGAGGAAAAACACATTTAGTGGTGTGTGAGAGAACATGAAACAGGGGTTGAGAGCCTTTCTCAGCCAGGGAAGCTGACAGGTCCTAACAAATGCTGAACCGGCTCAGGGGCGCTTCTCACCAGCGAGGGCCAGAAGGCTCCCCTGGAGCAAGAGGAAAGGTGTGCAGGAGTCAGGGGCCCTAATGGGATGACACTCTGGTGGTGGCCTGGTGTGCTGGATGGAGCTGTCTGCACTAGCTACCCCCTGGTTCCTGTTAGAGTGAGTTCTCCAGGCCAGCTTTCCAGGGAGCCTTGTGAGACAGCAGACAAAGGCCTGTGCAGTCCACACGCAGGAAACAAAAGGCTGAAGGAGGTGGGGTGCAAAAACCACCTCCCCTGGCTCGCCACTCATCCCACTACATCTTGCTGCTACATTTTAAACATAAAGAGATTTTACCATCTTCCAACAACANCAGCAGACAAAGGCCTGTGCAGTCCACACGCAGGAAACAAAAGGCTGAAGGAGGTGGGGTGCAAAAACCACCTCCCCTGGCTCGCCACTCATCCCACTACATCTTGCTGCTACATTTTAAACATAAAGAGATTTTACCATCTTACAACAACACCCTAGGTCTCCCCCTTCACCCTGGCCTGGCTGAGTTAGGCGGAGTGTGATTTATCCAGAGGAGACAGAGAGGTTCAGAGGTGTGGGGAAGTGTCCCTGGGCACACAGGGCCAAGACGTGGCTTTCATCCCGGGTCAGCACTGCCTCCTAAAGGAGGCTCTGCCACGTGGCCACATGGCCAGCACGTGCATGCTGCGCAGGCATCGCCTTTCCTAGATCTTGTTCCCAAGCTCTGAGGCGACGAATCTGGAAAAGAAAGCCTCCCCCTTCTCCCTTGGCAATGCTTTTCCTTCAACAGAAATCCATTGCTGTCTCTTCACTGGTGCTTTCCATCTTTCCCCCAGGGTAGCCATCTAATTTCTATACAGCAGCAGTCAGAGTGATTTTTATAAAACATAAATCTGTCCCTGCTTTAACTCCCCTTCTCCAAACCTTTAGCATACGATTTACATGGCCCTTCATAATCTATATCCTCCTGACCTCTCTTACCTCATGGGTCTCCCTTGCACTCCGTGGTCCAGCCAAGGCAGACCTCTAAGTCTCCGGCTAGCCCAGGCTTTCTCACCTCCAGACCTGCATTCAGGCCCTTCCCTCTTGTGGAACACCTCCTCCTGTGATGAGCTCCCTTTCTCCAATCAGCTCAAGCCCTCCTGTGCCCTCCTTGGCGCCTTTGTGCTTCATCCCACCAGCTACATCTCCCAGCCCCACTCTCATCACACTCTGATGAAATTACTTATTTAATCATCAAGGGCAGGGTCTGTGGCTCTTGTTCCCCATTAAAGCCACAATACCGAGCGTGCTGCTTGGCACATAGTAGGTGATCAATAAACATTTGAATGACTGGAGGAGAAGCAACGAGACTTCCTCCAGCAGGGAGGGCAGGAATGCTCCTGGGCATCCTCGGGAAGCAGGGTGTGGAGTCTGGTAGGATGTCGGCACAGCTCACTGGCACCAAATGCCTGGAAGGGCGCCTCAGGGAGGCTCCTGATTGAGACACATTTGTAATAGTGTCAGAATCAAGGCCACGAACACCCTTTCTCGCTTGCAGCATTCATTGTAAAAATGTAACAATAAGCTTATTTTTAGCTACCGAGTAAGGTGAGTTGATTCTCCAGATGCTGTGCTGTCTCCATGAGAAGCTCATCTCTGTTGTTGAGGGATGCCTCAGCCTCACGCCGGAAACTGGCCCATCGCCTGAAGTCCTCTTCACTTAAGACCTGTGAGATGGGAAGAGGCTCATTCACAACTCTGGGTGTCTCCTTCCCCTGCCCACGTGCTGGATCTCCTACAGGCCAACTTAAGCTTCACTATACACTTAGACGGGGATTTCCCCGCAATGATTTTTTTTTTTTTTTAGATTCTTGAATTGATGAAGGATTGATCTTCATGTTTCATTATCATCAAACGTCTGTTGACCCCTGTGATGCTCTGGGTATTGTAGATATAGTAGTGATCAAGAAAGACAAGAGCCCTACAGACCTGGGCTGATGTGTTAGTAGAGGGTGAGAGACGTTATCTAAGTGAATAATTTAAAAGAATGGACCATCCCAAGGACTTCTATACAGAAGACAAACAGCATGTGACTGGGTAGGGGGATAGCTGTGGGAAGAGGGGTTATTTTTGTTTGGATTGCCAGGACCCTTAGACAAGGTGACGTACAGGCTGAAATCCAATGATGAGAAGTGTTCAGTCATGGGGAGAGGCAAGTTCAAAGGCCATGAAACAGCAGTGAACTTGGCTTTCTTTCTGTTCCCTGAACACAGCAGTTGGCTTAAGGATGGACAGCCAGATGGACAGGACCAGCGATGCAGCTGGGCTGGAAAAGTAAGTAGTAGACAGGTCTTGTGTAGCCTGGTAGACTATTCCACTAGCTCCTGGAGGTGTCAAATGGCTGAAAAAATCCAACTAGAGGACACAGGGGGCTTCCCTGGAGGCCCAGTTGGTAAAGAATCTGCTTACAGTGCAGGAGACCTGGGTTCGATCCTTGGGTTGGGAAGATCCTTGGAGAAGGAAATGGCACTCACTCTAGTATTCCTGCCTGGAAAATTCAATAGACAGAGGAGCCTGGTGGGCTACAGTTCATGGGGTCGCAAGAGTCAGACATGACTTAGAGGCTAAACCACCACCAGCGGATATAGTTCATCTTCTGGAGTCCATAGCATTTTAGACTCCTCTGTTGGCATTATATGCACACTGTCTCTTACAGTAAAAAATGATTCTTTTGTCTAAGCATCAAATATTCTTTAATTTCCCACCCATGCATGGCATTGTGGGGAAAACAAAGGGGACACAAGTAGGTCTTTTACTTTTGAGGAAGAACAGTCTTATCAGAGGAGGCAAAATAGAAATAGATAATTTCAATAAAATATAGAAAGTGGTAATGTTTTAATTACAATCTATAGAGTAGAAAGTGCTGGTCACTGTCCCAGCATTACCTGTTACCTTAGTTAATTTCCATGACAACTGTAGGAAGTAGGGAACAGTAGCACCATTTCACACATGAGAACATCCCAAAGCTCAGAGAGGTGGAGAAACTTGCCCAAGGTCACATCGCTGATAAGTGACTGGGACTTGTCCCAGGCCTGGCTTTAAAGTGGGTGCTCTTCGAAGTAAGCCAGACAGATAAAGACCATTACAGTATACTAACACAATTATATGGAATTTAGAAAGATGGTAACGATAACCCTATATGCAAAACAGAAAAAGAGACTCAGATGTATAGAACAGACTTGTGGACTCTGGGAGAAGGCGAGGGTGGGATGTTTCAAGAGAACAGCATCGAAACATGTATATTATCTAGGGTGAAACAGATCACCAGCCCAGGTTGGGTGCATGAGACAAGTGCTCGGGCCTGGTGCACTGGGAAGACCCAGAGGGATCGGGTGGAGAGGGAGGTGGGAGGGGGGACCGGGATGGGGAATACATGTAAATCCATGGCTAATTCATTTCAATGTATGACAAAAACCACTGCAATGATGTAAAGTAATTAGCCTCCAACTAATAAAAATAAATGGAAAAAAAATAAAGTGGGTGCTCTTAAACTTTATGGTGTGCTAAGCTCCATGAAAGAGATGAAGAGCTCTGGGATTTCTGGAGAAGAAATCACTCCTATTCTTTTTTAGACTCTTTTCCCACGTAGGCCATAACAGAATGCTGAGTAGAGTTCCCTGTCTAGACAGTAGGTCCTTATTAGTCATCTATTTTACATATAGTAGTGTGTACATCAATCCCAATCTCCTAGTTTATCCTTCCCGCGTTACACCCTGATAACCATTAAGTTTGAAAAGAATCTAAAAAAAAAAAGTGGATATATGTATAACTGAATCATTGTACACCTGAAACTAACAACATTATAAATCAATTATACTGCAATTAAAAAAAAAAAACCACTTATAACCATCTTGAAATGCATGTCCATTGTAGCTCGCCTATCTGATTTTAGGTACTCCAGCTCTGGGATTCAGAGCTCTTTGCTTGCCTTTCCTGTAGGGGCTGCAAATGGAAAGACCTGCAGGACCCAGGGAAGGTAACCTACTTGAATCTAGCTGGGCCAAGGGCAATGCGATAGAGAGTGGTAGGAACTGTGACCAACCTCAGAACACAGAAGAATATATTCCTCAGCAGGAATCTGCTGCTACCTGGCTATAGTATTTGAAGCTATTCAAGAAAGGTAATCCAGTTTTCCAGATCCTCTACATTTTCAAGAGAAACCAGAAATCTAGATTTGTATGTGATCACATAAAATCTCCCAACTTCTAGATCTTAGCAAATAATGGAAATGGTAAGAGGATATTTAAAGGCAAAATTACAACATTAAAAAATCATGAGTTATAGGTTACCAATTACATAGACAATGAAAAGCAGGGAACCACAAGGCCACACTGATAAGGAACCTTACCACTCAGATTTCTGTCCCAGCAAGATTGTCAAAAGTTGTGGGTCTGTGTGGTCAGGATAGCCAATTTTGAGAATATTAGAAGAACCAATATTGAGGATCTTCTAACAAGAAACAGAAAAGACACAAGCAGGGTTGAAGCCTTTCAGCCACTAAATGCAGAATTTATTCTTACCTTCTTGGCGATACACAGTGTTCGAAGGCCGTCTCGTGCATACAGGTCTAGATGCCTCTGGGTCCGGGCTCGGATTTTCCTCATCTTCTTTTCCACATTAGTGTCAGTCACTGTCAAATAGTCGTTGTTCCCCATGAGGTCATGGACAAAATGCTTAGAGACCCCGTTTCTAACACCCTGGAGTCTTTAGAGGAGGAATTCCCTTATACCACCCCCACCCACACACACATACCGCTGTCACAAACACGAAGCTGCTCTTCCAGGCTGCCCTGCAAAGTGGTAACTCCATGGGTCCTTAAACTGTCCGCTCTCTATATCTGATCATCAAAAGTCTGGCTGAGAGAAGTACTATTTAGGAAAGTTAGGTGGCTTCAAGTATTGTTCCCAAATGCTTGTTTGTGGAAATTCCCTGACTGTTCAGTGGTTAGGACTCTGTGCTTCCAATACAGGGGCCTGTGTTCCATCCCTGGTTGGGAAACTAAGATACTGTATACTGTGCAGGAAAAAAAAAAAAGCATGGAAAACTCAAATACCTGTTTGCATCAGAATCACCTGGGAACTTAAGTAATAGAGACTTGAAGGTCCAGTTGAAGGCCTGCTGAATCAAAGAAGAAGAAGTCCTCCCTGTGACTAGTTTAGCCCTGAATAACCAGCTGTTTACATGTGTGCTAAGTCGCTTCAGTCGTGTACGACTTTTTGGGACCCTGTGAACTATAGCCCATCAGGTTCCTCTGTTCATGGAATTCTCTAGGCAAGGATATTGGAGTGAGTTGCCATTTCCTGCTCCAGGAGACCTTCCTAAATCCAGGGATCAAACTCTAGTCTCCTGCATTGACAAAAGGGTTCTTTACTACTAGCATCACCTGGGAAGCTCCAAACAGCTGTTTGCTAAGTCTTAAAAATGCTATCCATGACCTGCTCTGTAATCTACTTTAGTCCTTATGGTAAGTTGCTTCCAAGATGAAGAGAGACCTAAATCTCATTGCTAAGTTCCTTGCCATACTGGGTTTGCTGAGTTAGGCTTCAAAAAAATATTTTCTGGATTCCTATAAATCGAGTGTGAAAAATATTTCATTGTGTAGCTCAGAGTCCCCCTTTTGAAGTCCTATATAATACGTTTCTCTTAGAAGAAATTTATCTTTTTCATTTGAAATTCCAGTACTTTTATCTATCAGATAAAAAAGAATTTTTCAGCCCGGGCTGGCGGTTACGGGACAGGATTGATGCCATCACCACTTCCTTCATCTGAGATATCATAGACATCCCTAATCAGTGGCAGCATTTTGTAAGTCTAAGCTTGAAAAAAGCATCAGAATCCTTCTTAACCAGGGCTGGCTTGAGATCTTTAGTAACCCTAAGCAGTAAACAGTCTTTGTGCCCCTTGTTCATCCCTCCATATAATAGAGAATTAAAACTACAATTCTTTACAGTAAGACAAGTATAAGGAAGTCCAACAAAGCTCTGATCTTTTTTCCCCTGATACTACTCTAAGCCTGCTTTTACACGGTATAAAATCCCTTCAAAGATGAATTTCTTATTTTTCAGATATTACTTGTTTTCAGGTGCCTTAAGCACAATCTTTGTGCCTTGTCTTTTGGAGCACTATCTACGATGTTTTATTTTCAAAGACATCTGCTTCTGAGATTAAAAACACCTTTTGCCTTCTACCTGTGTACTTCTGAGTTTACTTTATTGCTCAGGCTACCAGGAACCTCAGGGTCAAGTTGAATGTTCAAACATTGTACATATACTAAACCTGAGGTTATTTACCCCCTGATTTTGAAATCTTTGCTTCTCAAATCTCATAGAAACATCGTATATGTATCTTTTATTGGAGGAATCTCTCATCCATTTTGGTATCAGGTGAGGAACAAAGAAATATCTCCAGGGCAGTGTGGAAGGCTGTTGTGCGGGAATGGAATGCTGTGGCTCCCCTGACTCTGAAATGCCGAATCCACTTGCCTGCCAGAGTCTGGGGATGAAGACACTTAATTAGCTCCCTTCTCATTCTAAACGCTCATCAATCCCCATGAACCTCTTGGCTCTGATCCATAGCTGACAATGCAGGAGGCACAGGGCTGCCTGGGCAATTCTGAAGCTTGGCTGGAATCTCCTGTCCTGGGAGAATCATAGCCCCGTAACTGTCTTTTCCTTGTTAGCAATCAGGAAGTGGCTACACACTAATTCATGCTGCTCCAAAATTTGACACTGATAATGTAGGGACTTGGGAACATTTTTCTGGCTTGGAGCAAGTTAATGAAAATCCATGTTGGGGAGGCTGGGGAAAGGAATGATAAAGAGCATCCCCTGAGGTTTCCCAGAGCAAATCGAGCTCAGTGCAGAATTCTGGTGGCATGACAAAAGCTCTGAACCAGGATTCAGGACACCCCCACTAGGATTCACAACTAGTTAGCTGAGCATCTTTTTTTATGCCACTTCCCTCCTTCAGGTTCAGTGGGCTTCTCCCCAAAACTAAGAGTTAGGACCACAGTATTTTCTAGGGTATATTGATGGATGTCCTGGTGAGGGGGGGAGGATTTGTGTATGGAGCATCCATGTTTAAATGAGTTTGGAAAAGTAAAAACTGAGATAAATAAAGAGGTTCCTCTGTGACAAGGCTGCCCAATGTCTTTAATAAGCTCTGTAATTTTCCAGGTCATGGAGATGTGGAGAGCAGTGTGTGTTAAGGAAGATGCTATGAGGAAAACATCTCGAGGGCTTGTGTTCCACCTGGGACCTGCTGGACTGAGTGACACCATAACTCAAGCCCCCCAGTTACCATTCCACGCCACCAGTTAAACACCAGAACCCTCTCTTCTTGGACCCTGATGAGATGGACTCACCACAGGCTGGGTCTTCCAGCAGGTCCATGATAACGCAGTCGGCGCCCTTGGTGTAGACGATGATCTCACCGGTCAGCGGGTGCCTCACAACCACAGACATCCTCTTCCTGACAGAGTCAAACTCCAGGGTGCAGAGGACGTCGAAGGTGAGGCAGGTGCCCTGGGGCAAGCGCACGGTCACTTGCTCGGGTGTCCGGGACTCCAGTGTGAAGCTGTAGGCACGGGCAGCATGCACTAGGGCGGCCTCATCAGGGCTCTCAGCCTCATAACAGAGCTCGGGACCAGCCAGACTGAGGGCTGGGGCCTGCAGCACCTCCTCCAGGGAGGCCCCTGGCCCTGCCCCCAGGACGTCGCCCTGCTCCCACGTGCTGCTCTTGTAGCCGCCGTCAGTGGAATAGCCACCGCTGCACACTGACCCGTCGTCTCTCTCTTCCGAGTCCGTGGTGGGGATGTTGGCCCCCAAGCTCTCCCCCAGGTCCATGTCGGAGGGTGCAGTGGATGAGAAGGACTGACTGAGGCTTGAAAGCTTCAACCTGTGGAACAGCTGCTGGATCTTCTCCAGGGATGTCCCCAGAGCCTTGGTCGAGGGTGGCATGGTGACCTTGAGGCAAAAGAGGAAAGGAGAACATGACTCTCCAGGTTGGGAAAACTATCGAGCTCCCTTATGGCAGAATATGAAGCTCATTTTGTAGTCATCCACTTCAATGATGGTGGGCAAGCCTTCTCCCTTCTGTGAGCCTCAGTTTACCCAACTATAACGTGAGAGGGTTAGGCCACTGGTTTCCTTCCAGCCCTGACTTCCTAGGGATTGGTGGTGACATCCCACTTTGACCATGGGCCAAGCAAAGCAAAGGAGACAAAAGCCAGACTCAGGGATGCAGTTCACACTCCCTGAACCCTTATCATCACTTTGCCTGCTTTATTTTTGCACGCAGCATCTCACTTTATCCTCCCAGCAACAGTGCTAGGAAATCCTATCATTATCCCAACTTCTGGATGAGGAAACCAAGGCATAAAGAGATTAAATGGGCTGTGATCACCCAGCTTGTAGGTGGCAGAGCTGGCTCTCACATCTGGGTCTGTCTGACTCCAGGGGCTTCTGAGCTACCTGCCAGCTGAAGCCTTCCATCAGCTTGAAAACTGAGAATTGGATGGTATACTTCTCTCTTTCTTGAACATAGAACTTCTTGGATAATGCTTCCTGCCTCCCAAAGTTCCCTGCAGACCTCTGATTACTTGCTGAATTTTCAGGGTAGTTTAGAACCTGGGTGTAATAATAGGGGCTCTGGTTTGGTACCTGGATGAACTCTCCTTTTCTTGATTTTTGTGGCCAAGTGTTGTAACACCCATTATTCTTATTCCTCACTTAGAAGAGAGCTTGGGCGAGAGTATGTGGATAATCAAAATAAATCTATCTTCAGTACTGAAAAACAACTCCAAGTATAATCTTTTACAAATGGCCATCCAGCTGTGTTATCTCTAACTTAGCAAAACCTCACACACAGTGTTCATTTTGTTTAACCCCCCCTCCCCTTAAAAAGCAGATACCAGTATACCGTGATATTATGATAGAATCATACAGATGGTTCTGCCATGTATTCATCATATGTCCTTCATTAAGTTACTCAAGTTCTCTGAGCCACCGTTTCTTCACTTGCTAAATCCAAAGACATACCCCACAGGATTGTTGAATCATAAAGATTAAATGATAGTGCAGGTGACGTTTGGCATAGAGGCCTGCGCATAGCAAGTGCTCAGTAAATATTACCTTTTAATGTCTACCCTGCAGACAGACACAAAATGTGAAACCTACACAGAAAACTCATATGGAACTTCTTATATTGTATTTAAAACATAAGGATTGAGGCCCAGAGAGGACAGGAGCTTTGTTCAAGGTCTCACAGTGATGACACGGTGACAGTGTGATCAGGACCCAAGTGTTCTGTGCTCTTGTGCAGGGCACCCATTCACGCCTGTGCTCCTCCCATCCATCCCACCCACACCATCACCGGTCCTTACCCTCTGCCGGGGCTCAGTAGTCGTGGAGACCATGACGGAGTTGCAGATGGTTAAGGCAAGGAAGAAGTCAGCAATGGAGGAGGCAGTGGCAAGGGAAGGCTTGGGGGGTCTGCCATCTGACAGGGTCTCCAGCCACAGAGCTGCGTCTTGCACCTTGGACAGGAGATTTTTATCTGGAGTCACGTCTTTTTCCTGGGAGAGAAAGGCTAGGGTCAGAGTCGTTCCTGAAGGGACTGGGGAGGAAGGCCCACTGCAGCAGATTCTTTCATGCCTGGGAAAGGCTGATACAGTCCTCCCTGCATCCTGCACCCAGCACGTCTCCCCTCCCCTGGGCCTGCTCACTGCAGAGTCTGATTTGGTTCCTTCCGTTCCCTCAAGCCCACGTGTCATCAGTTATATAGGCTCTGGAGGTTCTGCCCCCACAGCATCTTCCCACCACTTACCCCTCATTCCTGATGCTTCCAGCCAGTCTCAGACCCTCTAGCCCTCCAGCCTGGGTTTCCACATGCGTGTATGCACGCATGCTCAGTGGCTTTAGTCGTGTCTGACTCTTGCAACCCCATGGACTGCAGCTCGCCAGGCTCCTCTGTCCATGGGATTTTCCAGGCAAGAATACTGGAGTGGGTTGCCATGCCCTCCTCCAGGGGATCTTTCCAACCCAGGGATAGAATCCACATCTCCTACACTGTAGGCAGATTCTTTATCACAGAGCCCCCCAGGAAGCCCTCTGGATTTCCATTTCAGCCTTTAAAGTGAGGTGACTACGATACACAAAAATAGACTCAAAATGGATTAAAGATCTAAATATAAGACCAGAAACTATAAAATTCCTAGAGGAGAACATAGGCAAAACACTATCCGACATAAATCACAGCAGGATCCTCTATGACCCACCTCCCAGAATATTGGAAATAAAAGCAAAAATAAACAAATGGGACCTAATTAAACTTAAAAGCTTTTGCACAACAAAGGAAACTATAAGCAAGGTGAAAAGACAGCCTTCAGAATGGGAGAAAATAATAGTAAATGAAGAAACAGACAAAGGATTAANGTAACGATAACCCTATATGCAAGACAGAAAAAGAGACACAGATGTATAGAACAGACTTTTGGACTCTATGGGAGAAGGCAAGCGTGGGATGATCTGAGAGAACAGCATCGAAACATGTATATTATCAAGTGTGAAACAGATCGCCAGTCCAGATTAGATGCATGAAACAAGTGCTTGGGGCTGGTGCACTGGGAAGACCCAGAGGGATGGGATAGGGAGGGAGGTGGGAGGGGGGTTCAGGATGGGGAACACATGTAAATCCATGGCTGATTCATGTCAATGTATGGCAAAAACCACTGCGATATTGTAAAGTAATTAGCTTCCAACTAATAAAAATATTTGGGGAAAAAAAAAAGTGAGGTGACTGCCTTTCACCTCATTTAGTTTGAACCCTTCATATGTATATCACCCATACATCCTTCTAAGACACCATTTCCCTCAAGGTATTCTTAAGACTAAAAGCTCTTCAGATCTTCACTGTGAACACAACCATTTCAGTCTGTCATCTAAATTATTTCCCAGTTTGCATTTCCCCTATTGATTCCCACCACTCTGCATGTGGTCCTTCAGCTCAGCCAGGTGGTCTGGTGGCCGCCTCTTGGGGGTATACTCCCCTCCTAGGCCTCTGATCACACTCTTTCGGAAGTCCTCTCCTGTCTACCCCAATCCTACCTGGACTTCATAACCATAGAAACTCCACGGGTTCATGAGATCTGACTCAGCCACAGTGAGTAATCAGCCACAGTGAGTAATCTGTCTTTTGAGCCAGAAGCTTCAGCAGCAGCTTCTTGAACTGAGAATATCCACAGGAGTCAGGCAGGTAAGGTGAATGAGGGAAGATGGCTGAGTTACAGATGAAAACACTATGGGCTGAGGGAGTGGGGCTGTGAGACCTGGCAAATCCCACCCCATCTAAAAGGGGGTGACTGTTCTGCTAGTAAATTGATCCAAGGCTGGTGCATTTTGCTGAATCTCTGGGTTTTTCAAGATAAAATAGAGAATGATGTAAGGACTGTTTTTTTGGTTTGTTTGAATTTCTTTTTAAAAAACCCTGCAGACTGGATCTGACTCATGGATTTCCAATTTTTTCACATCTTTGTTGAAGCTGCCACTTCTTCCATCCCTCTAGAATTCACTACATACTGCCTGTATTTTAAATTAAGTTGTCTTATGTCCATGTTTAATCTCCCTACAGATAAACCAAGAGCCCGAAAGATGGACTGCCTTTTCTATGAAGTTGTATCTTCTGGAACCCCAAAGATTGCCTGATGTGAAGCAGAAGTTCAATAAACACCAGCTCTTCATAGATATGACAAAAGCCATCCTGTAAAGACGTTTTTACGTACAGCCATTTCTATCAATGCTCAGAGCCCACAGGTTAATTCGGGTTTAGAAGAGTCAATGATTGAAAAAGATGCACTGAGGGAATTTTGACTGATACATGCAGGGAGAAGACTGAGGGCCAATGAGCTGGCAAGTTTTACAAACTAGAACCCAAGTTGAAATTAAAAACATCCTGTGGGGCAGACTTAGAAAATGAACTTATGCTTGCCAGAGGGAAGGGACAGTTAGGGAGTTTGGGAAGGTCATGTGCACACTACTATATTCAAAATGGATAATCAACAAGGCCCTACTGTATAGCACATGGAACTCTACTCAATGTTATGTGCCAGGTTGGATGGGAAGGGAGACTGGGGGTGAATGGATACATGTATGTATGGCTGAGTCCCAGCGCTGTTCATCTGAAACTACTACAACATTGTTAATAGGCTACACGTCAATACAAAATGAAAAATTAAAAAAAAAAAATCCTGTAGGGAAGAGTCCTCAGATTGCGTCTTCTTTGACTACCAACTGCAATGACCCC